GAAGTACATCTCCATCCCCATTAATCAACTATTATAAGAATCAGAAGCTGTGTATATTCAGTGTATTTTTGACATGTTATTTTTAGTTTGAAATGAGTTTATCAGGATGTAACTGCCTTGAAGTCAAGGAGCACATTGTTATGAATTTTCATGTCTCTAAGATTATTTAAACTATTGAGTGCGTACAAAACATTCCAACTTGGGACATTTCATATTTAATCACTTTTGGATTTTAGAATATTTAAATTATTTCCAGTTTTTCACAACTATGAATAATATTCCAATAGCCATAAGTTTTAAAACTCACAGCTACACAGGTGATCAGGAGGACAGTTTCTTATGGAAAAAATTAAAAGGACTCATCTCTCCCTGGTACACTTGAGCATGTGTTAAGTATTGTTAGAGCACTATTGAATACATTGTTAAAGCACTGTTAATATTTAAGACTAAGCATTTCTCGTAATCACTCCTTTTAATTGTTTATTTTTTCCTCAAATAAGCTGAGATGATGGAGGCGATGATCAGGAGGACAGTTTCTTATGGAAAAAATTAAAAGGACTCATCTCTCCCTGGTACACTTGAGCATGTGTTAAGTATTGTTAGAGCACTATTGAATACATTGTTAAAGCACTGTTAATATTTAAGACTAAGCATTTCTCGTAATCACTCCTTTTAATTGTTTATTTTTTCCTCAAATAAGCTGAGATGATGGAGGCGATCTGCCTCCCTAATTGACTATTCGATCTTTCCCTGGTGCCCTAGCTGCTTCAACAAAGCAGACTGCTGTAATGCCAGCACCAGCTGCTGAGAATATGTCATGGACATCTCCACAGCTACACAACCACTGCTGTCTGTTGGCAAAACCTAACTCTACTCCAGGTGGCTATGTCCCAGCCGTAACTGCTTTAATAAGCTTGTGATGGACCTTTCTGCAGTCATACAACTGGATGAACTCTAGGTGACCCTGCTTATCATGCAGATATTTTCACCGAGGTCGAAGGGAGCGCTTACCTTGGTGGCCCAGAGGAAGGCCTGTGACTGGTGCACAGCCTTCCATTTCCACGATGAACGTCCATGACTGGTGCAGACTCACCACACCGTTTATCTGACTAGATAAGCAAGCTGTTCGGTTCATTTTATGAGCAAATGGGCAGAGATCCTTCTGTGTTAACTCCTTGGTGTAACAGCATTAAGTTTCTCTTGGCGGTCTTTTCTTGACTACTTTAGCTCTTTATAATTAGAGCAGGCTGAGCTGGCAACATAAATAAAGACAGCAGCAAAAAAGTAAAAATGAAGAGCTCTGAGAGTTGGGCAGTAGAAACAACAGGGAGCAGAGGCTCAGAGACAAGAGCCGTAAAGAGCTGCAAGCCTTGGTTGCAGGGGAACTGCCAAAGGGTCAATAGCCAAAAACGTCCTGTGCCTAAGGGCTGTAGCACTATAGGTAAAAGGGGTTGGGCACCCGAGCCATACGGAAGAGCTGCTGCTGCCTCTGCCACCACCCACTAACGATGGAAGCTGAGGATGACCGTATCTGCCAAAAGTCAGGACCACCAATGGTTAAAATCGAGACTCACAAGCCTCCAACCTGAGCCTAGACTCTGAGGTCAGTAGGCCCTGAGCTTTTAGGGCTTGGAGTTGTAAGGTCCACTAACAGAACCGTGGGAATTTAAGGGCCCAGGATTACAAGAACTTGCTACTCATGAGTCTTATCCAGGTTGAACAAATGGACCCCACCAAGCTGATGGGTGGTGCTTGGACGTGGAATGCTGGCTATTCATGTTTTAGAGTTTCTCATATATTAATAAATGTCTTTCCAAATATGCACTAATAACTCAGATTTCTGCTAGCAGTGTGAGTGCCCTGTGTATTCACTAGCATTAAGAATCGTGGGGTTTTTTCCCCAAACCTATTTTAGGTAAAAATTGTATATATTGATGCTTTGCTTCCCTAACACACACGCCGATTTTTTAAAGCAAATCGAAGCAGGATAGAAAGATAGGGAAAATTACTAGGACATGGGAACAGCCAGGAGCGTCTCACCACAAAGTCTGGTTAAAGCTTCTCAGCAGTTGAGAAGCAACAATTCCGGCACAATTAACAACATTCGCTGTGAGAGTTGCTGACAGAGAGAGTATTACTTTTTTGTAGAGATATTTTAAAATAGCAATAAATCTCAAGTAAGACTATGTACCTTATCACTTGTAACCGGGTCACCGCTCTTTTAGGTTTCTTAGCAACTCTTTGATGATGATAGCTTCCAACTTGGGATATTTCATATTGAATCGCTTTTGGATATTTAGAATACTTCGATTATTTCCAAAATCCTACATATGATTACTGGAAAGGCAACCAAGTGCAACTTTTACAGAAGCCCACACTTACGCTCTTGGGTATGTCTTTTCTCCAGAGCACTTCTTGTCTTTCCTTCTCTTAACTCACTTGCTTCGTATCTTCAATAAAAATGTCTTTTAAAGCCGGGTGTGGTGATGCATGCCTTTAATCCCAGTACTCTGGAGGCAGAAGCCGAACATCTGTGAGATGGAGGCCAGCCTGGTCTACACAGTGAATTCCAGGCCAGCTGGGCCTAGGGGAGACCCTGTCTCAAATAAACAAACAAATGTATGTCTTAACAAAAACACCAACTCCATAACTGGCTCTCCCTGACATTTTCTTTGTAGAAACTAAGAATTCCGATTTAATCCCTAAAAGATTAGGGGCACTCCTCGGGCTGCTGCTATGCAGCAGAGTGGAGATAATGCCTCCTGCCCCATCCCCAACACAGCTGACAACAACCATTTATATTTCTCCGTGTATACTGTATAGATCATATTTGGAGGTGGGGATCAAGTTTGTTCTTTTAATGAGCCTCCGTGTTTAGAACAGTGGTTGTTAGGTAGTTGACTCAAAGTTTTAAATGCATAAATGCAGGAAACCTAATTTAGCCACTGAAAACCTGTATGTTGCGTTCAAAATGTTTACCACGTGGATCAGTGATTGGAGGAACTGAGGACTGACCCGGATACACCAGGAACCGCACAGCATCCACCTAACAGAGGAGAAATTCCGTTTCCCCGAAGACATTAAAACAGTTGGTCCTCCAGTGCGGCAGAGGGCCAAGTAGCAAGCAGGATGCGAAACTGCCAAAACCCGCTGCTGGCTGGACTTCCACGTTTCCCCAGAGGATGCTAGGTTGGTTTCCCCCACAATGCTCAGCAGCTAGGACTGCAGGTCCCAGGATGCTCTGCGGCTACATAGGCCCGGTTCCCACCCACGCGGCGTGGTGAGGGGCCGCTGGCTGCCTGGGGTTAGCGTGCTGTGGAACTGTACGCAAATGGTCGCGGGAAGGTCCTCCAAGACGCCGCTTTCTTAGGGCGGTAAAGGCAGGGGCAGATGGGGAAAGGGCGGTGGGCGAAAGGGAGTAGCTCTGAGTCCTGCTAGGGAAGTGTAGCTGTGTCTGAAGAGGCCCAACCCTGTGGGACCGAGGTGCTAGAGCGCGCTGGACCTGAACGCTGTGAGAAACCGGAAACTACATTTCCCAGCATTCCCTCGTTGCTGGAACTACACTACCCGAAAGCCTCGGCGACAGTTAAAGCGCCTGCCGACCGGAAGCTCTGAAAACATGAAGAGCTGCTGGCTTTGGCGGTTCCTACGCCTTGAAGGCAACTGGGTTTTAACTCCCCGAGGGCGTCTGTCGCCCGCCCTGCGGAGAGGTGAGACGAAGCACCACGTCACCCAGGCCTGAGTGCCGTCCAGACAGACGGTTCGGGTGGGTCGCGCCTGCTCTGGCGCAGTCGAGACGGTGGTACGCCCCTTTTCCAACCCCGCCCTTTCGGGACGCCAGGGCATCCTTCCTGGTCCGAGCCGGCTTCCGCCGCCCTGGGTTTCCGCTCGCGTACCTTCTGAGTTTGTGGCGGGTTTCTTTTGGTTTTACGTTACTTGATGCTGTGTTTGCGCGTGTCCTGGTTCCTCGGTGGGCGGTGCAGATGTGCTCATTTAGCCTGGAGCCCGGGGTTGTGGTAAACTGCACACGTTTCAAGCCAATTGCTTTATTCTCACTCTGATTTTCAGTGTAGTCACGTAGCACACTTTTTTAAAGGATATTTTTATCTATTTTTAAATGTGTATGAGTGTATTGCCTGCATGTGAATAAGTGCACCTGTGTCGTGCAGTGCCCGCAAAGGTCAGAAGAGGGCGTCCGATTTCCCTGGAACTGGAGGTAGGATGGTTGTTAGCTGCTGGAAATCGAACCCGGGTCCTCTACAAGAGCAGTCAGTGCACTTAACCGCCGAACCATCTCTTTAGCCTCATAGCACACTTTTAAGTGCAGCGGAATCTGCAAGTTTCCAACCAGTTGGCAACCTCTGTTAAGAGCATGTATCCTGAAGAACATCTGGCTGTATCCTGAGGACTATTTCCAGGATTTTGTTTTTGGTTTTCAATTTTTAAACTCTTAAGGTGGATCACGGAGTAGGCATCTCATTCCATTCTGGGCATTCTGTTCTCCCCAATCTTTGATGTCAGAGGACCTGCGCCATACCATGTCAACAGACCAGAATGTAAGAATATATGCTGTAATGCTTATTCTCGAGTTTCTCCAGAAAAATAACCAGCTGGGGCCGGGGAGATGACTCCGCAGATGAACGTGTTTGCCACCAAGCCTAATAAACTGAATACTATCCCCAGGATTCAACATGGTGGACGGGGAGAACAGACTTCCAAAAGTTGTCCTCTGACCTCCACACACATTGTGGTATGCACACATACATAAAGTGTGAAAAATGCATAAAAAATAAGAAAAATAGCCAGCTGTGTCACTGAACTGGTTCAATTCTAAAAACAGACATTAGTAAGTTAATAAAACTTACAACTTAGATTTAATGGGATGCTTTTTTTTTTTTGTTTTCCTTTTTGGTCTTTTTGACTCAGGGTCACCTTGTAGCCCTAGCTGGCCTGGAATTCAGATTCACCCGCCTCTGCCTCCCAAGTGCTGGGATTAAAAAGGAATGTGCTACCATGCGTGGCTATTTTATATGCCTTTTCAAAAGTAGATCTGGCCTTTTCCATCAAAGAGGAGTTTGGTATAAGATTAGCCAGAGTTCCCAACCTTGATATATGACTTAGTAACTTTATAAAGTTGATAACTCTTTGAGTTTGTTTTTCTCACTGTAAACCTATAAAAGATGGCTGTGAAAGAATCAAAATGAGTAACAATGAAGATAGAAATGTAGGGTTTTGTACAGACATTTAAGTTCTGAGATTGTTTAAGATATTAAGGACCTATATTCCGTCTTCAGATGGAAACAATGATTATGGTCATTTCTTAAATATACTTGTCAAACATAAGCTTAAGGAGTCCTCATGAATCAGACTGCTCATGGGACAATCAGGCCAGTGATCACAATGCCCTATCATGAGTATTCAAAGGGTTTTTTTGTAGTGCCTTTTTTGCCTCCCAAAAGAAAGGAACCCCCCCACAAAGACCTGTTGCCAAAGAGTGTGCCATCAACAACATCCCCCTCATAGTACTAAGCAAAATCGTATTTAAGAAAGAAATGTCCCCCGTGTTCCATTATTCTCAGCCTCTTTGTAACTAGAACCTAAGGAAGGAATGGCAAATACATCGCATGCCTTGGTGAATTTTGTTCATTCTGTTCGTCTATCTGGATTTAAGATTTAATATGGCTGTAAGATTTTGAAATAGCCTTTATTCCCAAAGAGGGCCATTGTCTCTCTCTTCTATGAATTTATCTTTAAATCATGTCATAAAAAACACAACTTTAAAACCCCAGGGCAGTAGTGCACACCTTATGGTCCCCGTTACTCAGGATGCTGAAATGGGATCATCTGAGCCTAGGAGTCTTGAAACCAGCCTGGGTAACAATGAGTCCCTGTCCACAAAACACCATTCATTTTTGTACACACAGAGCTTTTCCTTCAGCATATGAAGGAAAACATCTAGAATTATGAACATCTAAAATTATGTTGGGCACTGGGAATTCAGTAGTGATCAAGAATAGATGTGGCCCCTACTCTCAAGGACTTCAAGTTGGTTAGCAGATTTTCTCTAAGAGAAACAGTATTTTAGGCCATGTGGCCCACATGGTCAACTACAATTTCTCTGTCATTTTAGCATGAAAGCAGCCATAAATGATTAGCAAATGAGCTGTGAAGTTTTATTTACTTTATAACAATTCAGAAAAACAGGTGTTGGTAACCTGAGGGCAATGTCTGCTGCCTGATCTAATGGGAAGTTAAAAATTATGCCTGATCTAATGGGAAGTTAAAAATTAATAGTTGAGTAAGTGTGGAATCGTACGTGGTATTGCAAAAGAATATTACAAGGTACTGTGAAAAGCCATGTGGAAGATCTGGCCTTACAAGATCTGTGCACACTTTCCAACAGAAGAGACCTTTGGACAGAGCTCTGAAGGGTAAATATGAACAGACAAGAGAGCTTTCTGAACAGAGGCTGTACAAAGGCCACGAAGGGAAGGCAAGCACATGGCATGTTTGTAGAGTTAAAATCTTGAGACCTTGAAAGCAGAGCCAGAGAGCATGCTGGGACCTGAGAGGAGCTGCAGCCCATAGAGATCTGCTGGCAATGTTAAGGTGTTTGATCTGGATCCTGATTTTTGCATGAGGTATTCACTATCTGTTGACTCAAGTCAGAGGAGCTGTACCAGTTTGACTACCCATAAGACCTAAGATCTGAAACATGATTTGCCTCTGAGCCAGGAGTATCATGAATTTGATGCTCACCTGGACTGCATACTGAAACTAAAAGTGAGTATCACTTTTCCTCATCAATAAGAATTTTAAGAAATTAGTAATAGGTATAAAAACAGTAAAATGTTACATAAGTGTTTCTGATTATTTTCTAATTAGAATGAACTTCTAATCAAGAAGGGTTAGCAACTAAGGGTACCAAATCATTACTCCTAATGCAACTCTTGCAATTGTATAGGGCAAGTTTTATTGAATTTTTTTCTTCAATTTTATTTTTCTCACCTGCTTTATGTCTGACAGTGACACAAAAATGTACATTTCTTAACCCTTATTAATGATGCTCAGCCAAAAAAGGCTGACTGCTAATACGCATTTTTAAAATGATTCCACCTTTACATCTGCTTCCTTTTATCTCTTCCATTAAACAGAATTCTAATTATTTTAATGAATCTTTATATCTTGTATCACATTAATTTAAGCTGAGGTTTTGATTTTTTTTTTTAATTTTACATTTATGAGTGTTGTGCCTGCATGTATGTAAGTGTACCTGTGCCCACAGAGGGCAGAAGAGGGCATCGGATTCCCTAGAACTGGAGTTAATGGATGGTTGTTAGCCACCATGTGAGTGCTGGGATTTGAACCCAGGTCTTCTGCAAGAACAGCCAGTGATCTTAACCACTGAACTATCTCCCCAGCCCCGAGGTTTTAATTTTTTTTTTTAATAACATCTGGGGACTGGAGAGATGGCTCAGCGGTTAAGTGCACTGGCTGCTCTTGCAGAGGATCCAGGTTCGATACCCAGCACCCACATGGTGGCTACGAACCATCCTTAACTCCAGTTCCAGGGGAATTCGATGTCCTGACCTCCACGGCATTGCACGACACGGGTGCACTCACGTACATGCAGGCAATACACTCATACACATAAAATAAAGATAATAAATAAAATATTTTTTACTGCCCCCTATTCCATAAAATCAGTAAAGACATCAGGTATGTTTTGGTTTATGTTCTGTCCTGTGCCAAGCACATGACCTAGTATTTGGTTCATATTTTTTGACTATGAAGATACTTAGGAAGGAATCACTTATAAATTCTTAGCACAACACCATGCCTGAAGTTGACACTGTCTTTTAAGTACCTAGATATGTAAGTAGCTTGGGATAAATAAGAGAGACTGACCACACAAGATGATAGAATGTGAACTTTGGAGTCAAAGTAATCTAAATCTGATGCTATTTCCTATTTTTGGCTCTATGACTTATGCAAAATCCTTTACCTCTCCTTGGTTTGGAAAGATTTCCTTGGTTTGGTTTTAGTCTCAGTATGTAGCCTACGCTAGCATCAAATTCTTGATCCTTCTGTCCCAGTCTCCTGAGTACTAGAATCACAGGCATGTGCCACCATACCCAGCTCTATTAAGCATGGTTTTTAATCTAAAAATGTGAATAATGCCTTCCTTTGGTGGCATATAAAGTATCTGGTGTAGTTCCTTGTATTTGACTTATTACATTAATTGGCAGTTATCTTAATATATAATAGTAGAATTTTATATGGGCAGAATTCATCCTCAAAGGAAATAATAATAAAATTCACCAGTAGCATATAAAAAAAGACTATATTGTGTCTAGGTTAGATTTTGGAATTTAATTGAACAGGATGAGACTTACTTCAAAATTGAATAGTAGGCCCTAGAGCTCTTATGTTTACCAGTAAATATTCTAGGCTTTAAAAGTCAGACTCGGGGCTGGAGAGATGGCTCAGCAGTTAAGAACACCAGTTGTTCTTGCAGAAGACCCAGGTTCAAATACCAGCATTCACATGGCAGCTAACAACTCTCTGTAACTCCAGTTCCAGGGGATCTAACGGCTTCTTCTGTCCTCTGGCCATTGTACAACACAGGTACACTTACCTGCATGCAGGCAATACACTCACACACAAAATAATAAATAATAAAATATTTTTTTTTTAAAGTCAAACTCACTGATTGTGACCCACCTGTGTGTCAAAATGCATTGTAGGTCCTGAAGATACAGTAAGGAAAAACAGTCAAGACATTATAGGGCTTATAGTCTGGGTCAGAAAGAAAAACAGCAAACAAGATAACTGTATTAGGGCTGAAATCTATGTATGGATATGTAAGAGAATGGAAAAACAGCTGTTAGATAAGAACATAGGCATAAAAAGGCTTTGTAGTGCTATAAGAAACTTTTGAACACTGAAGAGAGTAGGGCAGATTCTGCTCTCCAGTAATTAAGTAGAGGCAGTGATATCCAAAGCATTTAATATTTATCATTATGATTTAGACTTGACTCTTAAAACATTTCTGAATCTTGAAAGAAGAAAAACATTTGTTGAATGTTTGCTTATGTACAGAATAGTATCAGACCTCAGATTTGAAAAGGGTTCAGAAGAGTCAGTTAATTTTTGCGAGATTACAGCACTCAGTTAATTGGGAAGCTAGAACTATATTTAAATAGATGGAGAAAGCTCTGTAGAAGCCCAAGTGTGATATCACTGTCAATTATTGCAAAAATAAATAACACTGTCTTCTCTTTTCAGATTTCTTGACCACCACAACTAAGGAAGAATATGATAGAAGGCCAGTGGGCATAACTCCTTTAGAACAAAGGAAATTGACCTTTGATAGTCATGCACTGGTGCAGGACTTGGAAACTCATGGTAAGAAACAGGAGTACTTGAAAGAACATTAATAGCACTCTTATAATAAATTACCAAGTCAAGAGTCTATCAACGTTCTTAAAAAGAGTAACTATTTACTTAAACAAAAGTGCCATCCATACAATGGAATAGTTTACAGAAAAAAAGGAAAAAAAAATAGAAAGCATTACATAAAATTATATGTACAGAATGATTCCATTTAAGTGAAAAAAAATTTAAAAGAGTATTAGCCTAGAAACTAGGCTAATACCAAAGTCTGGATGCAAGTACAAATGTTTTAAGTATACATGTAATAAAATTAGGGGCTGGAGAGATGGCTCAGCGGTTATGAACACTGGCTGTTCTTGCAGAAGACCCAGGTTTGAATCTCAGCACCCATATGGCAGCTAACAACTGTCCATAACTCCAGTCCCAGGGGATCCAACAACCTCTTCTGTCCTCCATAGGCACTGCACAACACGGGTGTACTTACATACATGCAGGCAATACACGCATACACATAAAAAATAAATTAATTCTTTTTTCACATGTCCCTGGGTCGGACTACAGGTCTCTCCTTGCAGCGGCAGCGCGAGAGTAGAGTCCGGGCAGCGGAGGCCAGAGTCATGGCTGGACAAGCATTTAGAAAGTTTATTCCGCTGTTTGACAGAGTATTGGTTGAAAGGAGTGCAGCTGAAACTGTCACCGAAGGTGGCATTATGCTTCCAGAAAAATCTCAAGGAAAAGTATTACAAGCAACAGTAGCTGTGGGATCAGGCTCTAAAGGAAAGGGTGGAGAGATTCAACCAGTTAGTGTGAAAGTTGGAGACAAAGTTCTTCTCCCAGAGTACGGAGGCACCAAAGATAGAAGACAAGGATTATTTCTTATTTAGAGATGGTGACATTCTTGGGAAGAAGCTTT